ACGTCAAGGGCGTCTTCTTCGCCTGGGCCCAGAAGCGGGCGGGGGCGGCGGTGTGAGGGCCCGGGTCCCCCCGACGCCCTGTCAGCCGAGGCGGCATCTAATAAAGTAACAGCTCCTGCTCTGAGCCGTGTCTACCCCGGCCCCAGCTCCAGGAAGGTAGCGGCCCTACCCACCGCTGCCCAGGCAGGTCGAGGGCCGGCACCTGTGCAGCACTCAGTCCCCACACCTGAGCACAGGAGGGCTGGGTGCGGAGCCGGGTGCGTGAAGCCTGGAGGCCGAAAGGAACTTGGGGTGGGGTCGTGGACCAGGCCCAGAGGGCAAGACCCACCTGGTGCCCACCCTCTGCCCACGCTCGGATACACGCAAGCTGGACAGGTGGGCAGAGGAGCGGGTTTATTAGCGCGTTCCTTCCATGCCCCAACCACCATGCGCAGTCTCAGGGATTCTTGAGCCCTGGTCTGACCTGTAGCCCAGGCCCCGAGGAGAAACCACCACTCTGGTTGCCCTGGCATAGCCCTGGCCACCAGGACAGAGCAGCACCCGAGACATTCCGTCCCAGTCAGCCGGGGCAGCCAGAAAAGCTATGAGTCACCTGGGCCAGGACATGGGCAATTCCGCCCTGCCTGCCCTCGGACTGCAGTGGCACAGGGAGCCAATCTGGGAGGCAGAACCAGACTCAGCCACAGCTTGCTCCCCCCAAATGCCTGCTGTCCCCCAAGTCCAGGCTGACAAAGGGGAGGCCACGCCAAGGAGACACAGGCTGGAGAGGGTGGGCCCCATACTCCTCCCCTGGCCTTCCTGAAGGAGTTGGTTCTGGGGTCTCAGTTGTGTGGGGAAGCTGGGTATAGTGGCATACATCTGTAGTCCCAGCACTTAGGAGGCTGAGGCAGGAGGATCGCCATGAGTTCAAGACCAGCTTGGGCTACACAGTGAGTTCAAGGCCAGCCTGACTACATAGCAAGACCCTGTCTAAAAAAAGTTATGTGGGGTCCTGTGAGGTTTGAGGGGGCAGCAAAAGGACACTGGGCAGATGTGCACACACGTGCAGACCCCGTACACACCTGGCCTCTGCCTGGCTATGGCCATGGGCACGGATGGTGCTCCGGGGGCCTACGACCCTGGCCTGGGCCCGTCCCGCTCGACTCCCTGCCTCATGGCACACACTTGCTGTCACACTCACCTCACACTTGCACACAATCTGTGCAGCTCCCCTCCTGCCCCTACACCTACGCACCCCTGTCTACACTGTGCGCCAGGGCCCAAGCCAAGCCCCCACCTGGAGCAGAACTCCCTCCATCACCCCTGCACTGCCTTGGCCCAGGGTCCCTCCCTGAAGGGGGTGAGGTGAGGCTCTACACCTCCCCAGGCCACATCCCAGCTGTGTGTTCCCTTCGACTCTAGGGGGAAAATCCGGCCTTCAAAATGGGTATGGCAGGCCCGGGGATTTAGCTCAGTAGTTCCTTCACCTGACTCGCCCAGCACAAGGGCCAGAGTTCGATCATCCCAGGTGCGCGCGCGCGCGCACGCACGCACACACACACACACACACACGTAGAGCAGGCATCTAGCGCCACCTGGTGGCACCTTGTGGGAGGGTGAGGTGGCCTAAGGAGACCCCACCTACAGAACAGGGTGCGGGGCTCAGGAGAGGCCTCACGGGGAGGCAGAGGCAGTGCTTCATGCTCTCTTCCCTAGAACAGCTCAGCTGCCCTGGCCCCAGACTGGGAGGCCATGGTCCCTGTGAACGGTGAAGGGTGGGTGGCTGCATGAGCCTGCGCCTGCACCCTGAAGTCTGAGTTCCAGCTAAAAAGCCTCAGGAGGCTGAGGTGGGAGGTTTGCTGTAAATTCAAGGCCAGCCTGGACTACAAAGCAAGACCCTGTCTCAAAAAACAAAATAAAAAAGCTAAACAGCTAAGACCCATCATCCCGGGGAAGGTGGCGCCCACCAGGGTCCTCAGTGAAGCTTGGACTTGGCTTCCGACACCCTCAGCAGGTACAGGCTGTCATCCTCCAGGAAGCTGTGGGCCAGGGCGAGAGCACTGAGGCTGGGGGGCGCGGTGCAGGGCGTGCAGGGGCCCCGGGCTCCCCTAGGGGCCGGCAAGGGGGTACCCACCTGAAGAAGAGGACGTGCAGGGGGATGGTGCTGATGTGCCAGATGGCGTGGGCATCCAGGACCCAGAAGAGGGGCGGGAAGTCCAGCAGCTCGAGCAGGGACAGCCCCTGCAGCAGCAGCACCACGGCTGCGCACTTGCGTGCGTGCGGCAGCCTCCGGCTGTTCCGCAGGCACCAGCCCAGCCACCACGCCAGGTTCGCCAGACCTGGGG